CCCGCACTCGATGTGGTCCGTCGCAAAGGAAGCAAGACATGGGTTTTGGCTCGTACTTACCCCCTTTGCTCGAACCACCTTGGTGTTGTTGAGCGCGAGTGCCCTCCTTGAAAGGCTTCTGCTGCTCTCCACCCTTGTTGGGCTTTGAACTCTTCTCTTTGCCGCTGCTCTCTTGCCTTTTGTACTCGACAAAAGACTCCGCCGTGGCCATGGCAGTTGCAAGGTCTTGCACTCCTCGACGTTGCATCTCCATCTTGGCCCATGGTTGCAGCCCATCAAGAAAGCCGTGCATGGCCTCCTTGTCCGTGATGTCCGGGATCTCTAGAAGCAGCTCCGAGAATTCTTTCACGTATTCTCGAACTCCACCCCTCTGGGTGAGTCTTCTCAACTTCGAACGGGCTTCAAACTCCACGCTCTCCGGGTAGAACTGCCTCTTGATTTCTCTCTTGAAATCTTCCCACGTTACCATCACACAAGTACCTCTTTCGACGTCCGCTTCACGTCGCCTCCACCACACCATGGCAACATCAACCAAGTAGAGTGGAGCGGTACGGAGTTTTACCTCATCCTCTTGGATGCCGGACGCCTTGAAGTACTTCTCAAGACTCCAAAGGAAGTTCTCTAACTCCCTCGCGTTCCTTGAACCTCCGAAGTTCTTCGGTCTTGGAACATCAGCACGTGGGACGGATTGCACCGGGGCTGGTCCGCTAGCCATGGCTCTCTTCACGAGTGACCTCACTCTTGAGGTCTGCAATCTCCTCCTTCATGCCGACCAGCTCAGCCTGGACTTGCTCTTTCACAACTTCAAGGGCGTTGTTCATGGAGGCGGTGATGGTGTTGTTGATGAGGGCCACAAGCTCTTCCCGCATCCCATCGTGGTTGATCTCCAAGCTTGTCAACCGACCAGCCATTCCTTGAACATCGCCTTGGACTTGGGCGATGTTACCTCCCAAATCTTCGATGGCAGTGATGTCTTCCGCAATCTTCACTTCAACTCGAGCGACACGCCTCTCTAGCGCCGCCATAGGATCACGAGTGCTTGACTTGTCACCCTTTGGCTTGGGATTCTTGGTGTGATCCCTTCCACGCTTCTCGTGCTCGATAACGCCGCTATCTGATCCCGACATTTCTGGTGAGGTTCTTCCTTTCCTTCTGGCACTAGGTTCAACTTTGCTAGCACAAAGCCGAACCAGGCTCTGATACCACTTGTCACGACCTTACTCTCGATCGTGCGGCCCTAGCTCTCAAATCCGTTAGAGCGCTAGGCAGCCTTTCTCTCAACTCACTTGAAAGCAAAGAACAAGAACAAAGACAAAGGAAGTGGGAGAACTCTCTAGTGTGTATTACTCTAAAAAATGATGGAATGAGTTACAAGTGAGGGAGATGGCTCCTTATATAGGCCTCTCCTCATACAAGGCATTAATGCCCCTCATAATGGTCCCTCTACTACATCAATACACCCCATTAAGTCCCCCCATTATGCACTCTATAAATGTCACCCATTATGTGACTCATAAGTGCACCATTAAGCTCTCTATTAAGGTGGAGAATCCTAGGAGCATCTCTATGCTACTAGTCTTCCATACATGCCACATGTGCAGCCACCTTGTTGTCACCTTGTTGGCGCCATGTCATCTGCCACATGTGACAGTACCCAACGACTTTGAGCTTTCAATGGCTGGTGAAGCGGTAGAGAAGGAAACCGCGACTGGGTTGGAGTCCAGTTGGATAATAAATTGCAGACCAAGAACAGTGATGCTGCTGCTCTCTTCAATCATATTCCAGATTGGCCGTGAATGGCAACAGCCTCACATGAGCCTTTGAATTAATTTGGTGGGCTGCTGTCTATTAAATGGTAAAAGTTGAGGGATTGGTCACTGCTACTGGGCCACGCCCCCCTTTGGGTTTTTGGTCCCCCTACCTCTCTTATTCCAAAACCTAAAAAGCCCGCCCAATTACTTCAGCTGCACCATCTATAAATATCTTCCCAAATTAACCGAGCATGATGGATGGTCCAAATTAAATTATGCAAAAGAAAAGGGGTAAAAGTTAGACCAATGAGCAAAATACCAAATTCAATTTTAGGGTTAGCACTTTAACATTAACATGGCTCGAAACTTGAATAAAAAGATAGTTTGGATCCAACTTGTCAAAAATATTATTTAAATTTTTGACATAATAAATACTTCTTTATTTGATTTTGCGTTCATCGTTGTTGTCGCAACCTCCCCTCCGAAATCGGGGGATACGACGCGACACGCTCGGAGTCGCCATCGACCTTATTGTGGTGGATCGAACACCTTTTCCCGGTTTTGTTATTTAGGTTAAAACCAGAAATCTGGTCTGCGAATTTTAGGTTTATGGGTTCGGGAGTACGATTACGTGTGGGGAAGTGTATTCACACCCCACAACGCCCCAAATGGGTACTACTTAAATCGATAAGTTTTTAAGGGTTGGGTGTATTATTATTACTTGGCTTATTTGTGTATTTAACCATATAAAATTATTTAAAAATTATATTGGGTGTATTTGTTAGAGTCCAATTGGAAGATATGATTAGCGTAAATTTTGAATTGTTGTAGTTACTTGATAATGTTTACGTCTATCGACGTAAAAATATTTTGTAGATTGGTTGGACTCGAACCTATTGGTTGCCTACGTACCCGAGTAGTCGGGATCAAAGTCCACGTAGTTCGGTTGAAATTGGTTTTGAAAAGAGAAAACTTTACACGTTCTATTGATTGTGTAAGTTTAGATATTGCATTTCTCCTTTGAAGATAATTTTAGTGTGTTGACTTAATTATTTATTGGTTACACGATTGTCACGTTCTATTGAGCATGACATTTCATATTAAGAAAAATTGTGATATGAATATGGTTGACGAACTTTTCTACAATAGAGAAAATTTTCCTATACGTTAGGTATTAGTACTACACTAGGGTTATAATGAATTTCTACGAGATAAACAAAGTGATTGATTTATATATTTAACATGTACGTTACGTATATAAAAATAAAAAATAAACGAAATGAAACGTGTACCAAGGATTAGCAGTGGCTGAAGTTGTTAAATCCTTAATTAAGGACTCTAACGACCTTTAGGTTAGCAGTTCGAAACTAACCTAACTACGTTTTTGGCGTTTTTAAACGGAAGATAATGAACGGTATTTTCGTCAACCCACAAAGAGGAAAATAACTAATTGCTTTGCTAAACGAAACGGCCGCCTCTCTCAGCCTCTCTCTCTCTCTTTCATTTCTCGTGTATCCTCTGAGAACAACAAAAACAGAAAGGGAAACGAATGGCGATCCCTTTTACTGCTCTCTTCCTCTCCTCCCCTCTCTTCTTCCCCTCGATCTCCCTACTAAGAAATCGACCAAAACAAGCAAAACCTCCCATTTCCTCGATCTTTTTCTCCTCCCTTGACAAGCCTGATCGCCGACCGTAAGATGCAGCCGCGGCGGCTCCGAGAAACGGCGACGGTGAGTGAGCTCTTGCATGTTAATTTTTAGGGTTTGATTGTCCGATTTTTACTTTTGTTCTTTCTTTTAGGTTTTCGATCTGGATGAGGGAAGCATGAATTCGGATCTCAAGGGAAGAGAAGAGGAATGAACGCGTGAATGTGATGGTAAGATCGATGGATTCTGACCTTTAGCTTTTGATTTATTTTTTCATTTCCTTTTTCAACAAAAAGGGATTCTGACCTGGGGCTTTGGTGCTTTGTATTGGTTCATTTTTGTTTGGGTTTCGATCATGGTGAGGGAAAAAGGAGCAATGGGTACGAAAGGAGGAAGAAGGCTGCCGGCGGTGAGTGATTGTAACAGGCGACACCGCCGGCGGCAGTTGAATAGAGTTAGTTCCCTTTCCTTTTCACTTTGATCCGATTTGAAATCTTGGTGATGCTGTTTTGGAATAGTTCGAGTAAGAAGTAGGAAATTTAGGGACTTTACTGTATTTTGGTTCTGGAAATTTGTCGATGCTTATGTGTTTGAAACTAGAAATTTGCGTTTTGATTGTGGTGATTGGGTATGGTTTGTGGTTGCGAAAGGAAAAGGTTTGGGCTTAGATATATAGGGAAAACCCTTAAGCAAGTTATTAGTTTCATTTGTTCTGTCATTATGTTGAATCTGTGTTCTGATAACTTGGTGGATTTAGATGTGAACTTGATAATGAAGTTGGGATTGTATTTTAGAAGTCAGAAACTTTCACGGCTCTGTTATGTTATATTTTTTGGAAAAAAGTTCGGTTGGTTTTGATGGTTTCAACCGTCAAACTAATATTTCTGTTAAGGTTTCAAACTAAGGGATTAAAACAATGAAAAGTCATAGATAGGTTTACATATCAAGTGACTATAAATATTGCTATCGCTTGTGCTTACTTCGTCTTTCGTTGATTTAGTGTCAAATGTGTTTTCCTTTTTGTAGTTTGTGATGGATGAAATATGGGGTTTGCTATGGTTAGACATGAGCCCTTAAAACCGAGAGAGCTATTCTAAAATAGCTTCATATAATCGAGTCTAATAAGTCTTCGAGTTTGTATTAGCTTATTATTATAAGCCGAATCTACTTTTGCTTATGGCATGAGTTGGGTGTTAGTTTAGCATTTATATATATGGTGAGTACAATAAACAAAACTGAGAAGAGGGAAACAAAGGTAAAATTGCAGATCTAACTCTTGCTTGTAATGAGCTTAAGCATGGAAGTATTAAAATGACAAGATGAATTAGGTGTGGGCAACAGCCTTAGATGGAAAGCAATAAATCTGATGTGTTGGTTACTTTGCTAATATGGTGAAGTATGTCATCTTTTATTTTGCTTGGAGTGGATTCAATATCATTGCTTTTCAGATTATTAGAGTCAGATTGTAATTTGATTGTGATTGATTGAGTTTGATGTCTTGTTAAATCAATTTGGTCATTTGTAGTTTGATTGGTGGTAGATTGAGATTCCTCTTTTATACAAAATCAGTATGCCAGTGTTTGCTTGGAATTGATTGATTTGTTTTTGAGAAAACCTTAGATAACTAGCCTTAGATCCGGTGATGCAAATGATGATGATGGAAAGATGAAAAAGATTTAGGATACCCACCTGTTCGTGTAGTTTGGGGGAGGGGATGAAGCTGTTTTCCTCTGTCTTCGCTTGGTTTGACTGCTGGAAACTTATTGCCTCTTGTGGTGGGTCTTTTGTGTGTAAGAAAAGAAGCAGAATGTTTGCTGTAGAGTTGCCGCTGCTCTCTGGCTGCTGCTGTCTTTTTTCTTATTTGTTGTTGATGCTTTGTAACAAGAGGAAAACGTGGAATGGAGTCTTTTCTGTCTTTGACTGCTTTTTCGTTATGATGGTGACGTTTGTACGAAAAAGAAAGAGAGGAGGTAGAAGAAGGTTCCTCTTCTTTTTATATTCTGTGAGTATTTGTTAGAGCCGAAGGGGTAGAGGGAAGTCTATCTGTTCAGTTTTTGAGCTTAGTTATTTGTCTGGGTGTGTTTAGCAGGGGAAATGGAAGGCGTTGGGGAATGATCAGGAGATGAAGAAGAAGAAGAAGAAGAAGAAGAAGAAGAAGAAGAAGAGGAAGAAGAGGAGAGGGGGTCTGCTCCATGTCCCTTTCATCCCTTTCATGGTTTGTGGGTTTTCTTTTTGTTGTCTTTCTTTCTCTCTCTCTTTGTGCAAGAACCGAAGATGAAAAGAGGAAGAGAAGACCTGTTCTTCCCAGGGGAAAAGGAAAGAAGTAGCAGGAAGAGAAGAACCCTCTGCTTTTTTTGTTTTCGTTTGTCATCAGAGGGAAATCTCTCTTCTTGTAAGAGCCATGGGGCTCCCTTTTTATAGGAAAATTGGCTACTTGTGCGCCAAGTTTTGCTACAGTAGTGGTCTGGATTTGGGTCGGACCAGTTTGGGTTTGGTCAGACCTGATTGGGTTGGCTGACTTTGACTCTTGTTGACTGAATTGACCGAAAGTTGACTATGACTTTAGGTCTTGATTTATTTTATTGTTGTATTTTATTTGTAAATTTAATGGAATAGCATTGTGATTGTAATTTTTATTTATATTTGATTTAATTCGAATTTAGTTTAATAATATGCTTATTTATCTTTTCTTAATTCGAATATTTTTATTGCTTCAAAATCAAAGTACAATCATCGCCCCGTCCAAAATTTTAAGAACCAGTTCATCAAAGATCAATTCAAAAATTGCCTAATTCGTCAAATCAAAGCAAACACAACTCAACTCTCTCATTATCAATTATATTGGTCGAGATTTGCTATTAGTTAATCTCTTCAAGGCAAACAAAACCCATCACAGGCACTACAAATATGTTTTAGTTAGAATGTCATTTAGGATTTGCTATTGCAAACTTTAGACAAAACACTAAAATTATTTAATTAAATATATGTTCTAACCCGGACAAAAAGTGGTGTCTACAGTTGCCCCCCTTTGTATATCTCTTGGTATTTTGAGAGGTATACAAAGTTATTATAGCACACCATTTTTGGCCGGTTAATTATTGCTATAAATTGCAAGGTTGGGGCGCTAGCCCACTCCCTTTTGGTAAGTTAAGGTGAGGTAAGGTAAATTTATGCGGTAGTATAATTTGTTCATTTGTTTTTTTATATAACCTACGATTTTGTTTTTCGTATCATGGCGGTAGGGCCAGTGTTAGTGATTTTTGGATTTCTTGGCGGTAACGCATGCGTTAGTGCTTTTGGGTTTCTTGGCGGTAACGCCTACGTTAGCGTTTTTAGGTGTCTTGGCGATAGCCCCTGCATTAGTGTATTTAGGTTATTTGGACGTAGGGCCTGAGTTGGTAATTAAGAATTTTGGCGGTAAGGCCTGAGTTGGTATTCAGGTATCTTGGTGGTAGGGCCTGAGTTGGTATTTGGTATTTTGGCGGTAGGACCTGAGTTGGTATTTAGGTATCGTGGCGGTATAGCCTGACTATAGTTTTCTGGTTTCATGGCGGTATAGCCCGTTTTAGGAGTGTTTACATGGCAATATAACCTGATTTGGGTTTTTTTGTCCAATGGCGGTATAACTTGACTTGTTTTTAGTCTTGTGGCGATATAGCCTATTTCGTTTTTTAATGATCCGGTAGCGGTATAGCCTGATTTAGATTCTTTTTGTATGGCGGTATAGCCTGTTTTTGATTTTTTTTAATGGCGGTATAGCCTGCTTTGGGTTCTGCATGGCGGTATAGCCTTCACTGTTTTTATCTTGTTCCCGTAGCGGTATAGCCTGATTTGAGGTTATCTTGTTCTCGTGGCGATATAGCCAGATTTGAGATTTTGTGGTGATAGAGCCTGATTTTGGATTTTTATTCATGGCGGTATAGCCTGTTTGATCACGTGTATCATGGCGGTAAAATTCACGAGGATATGTGAAAGTTTAACTTGATCACGAGTGGTATAGATTTTTTGTGATTGACATGAGTGGTTGAAACAAGCAATTGGTGGTCTTAGGTAGATCTAAGGTATGTGACAAACTTGATATTGGTAAAGATTTGAATTTTGACTTCCCCATATGTGCAAATGCAAGGTATTTTGTGATATGATATGATGCAATATTGTGATGAGATATGTTGGAAGGGTACATCTACTTTAAATGAATTTTGAGAATGAATGATATTTAATTTGGCTATGAAATTTTTTTTAGATGATGCCATATGATTAGTTTGAAGTGCATTGAGAATGATGACATTCGATGCGTGTGAAGTGCTTTCGAAAAAGGTTGTATGATGGGTTATAGGATGATGTCTCGATGGTATGCAAAAGAAAGAGTATAATCCCTCATCATGGTCTTGATGTTTTTTTTTACCATGGATTCTCTTAAATCGATCATCCACAAGGAAAATATGTCATTTCCTTTAAGTAAAATTGATCCTTGGTTGTGCTCGCGATGGGGTAGCATACTGCCGACATGGGTACTTTATTCGTTGGTGTGTGTCACTATCTCGAGGTACTGGGCTTGCCATCTAGTTTATCCTCTTTTATATACTCAGTGAGCACAAGGTATGTCGCTTATGGGGATTGATGGAAGGTTGGTCTTTTGTTTTCTCCACCTTGGACATTGATTCTTGGGTGGCTGATGTATTAGCCATATGATCTTTTCATGGGATGTGCTTGGTAGGTTGTTTCTGTAAGAGGATTTTGTACCACCTTGGACATTGATTCTTGGGTGGCTGATGTATTAGCCATATGATCTTTTCATGGGATGTGCCTGGTAGGTTGTTTCTATGGGAGGATTTTGTAGCATGCTGGTCACAGCATAATGTGCTCATTTAGTTTGCTTGATCTTCTTGCTATGTGAGCATGTCGTGCTTGGATAAGAGAAATTTGTTATCTCTGGGTATTGTCTTGTTGATGTCGGTTTTCTAGACATGCTTGATTGACCTCATCGGGAGGTATGAGGTACAAAAATACTTTGTTGACGGATAGTTTGATTGATTGGTAGGGTATCTTGAACAAAAATTGATTCAAGATCTATGAGATTTCCCATTTACTCATGATTTGGTGGGTTTGGAGAACCACTTTCTTCTTTCTTTCCGAGTGGCACTATCTTGCCCCCGAGAATGTGTTATTCGCCTTCCATTCTTCGGAACAAAGTGTGACTTTTACCAATCTTGACTTAAGATGAATGCAAACAATGTTTGAAAAAAAAAATCATTTAAGAGGATATAATGGGAACTTACTTTTGAAATCAAAGCCTTGCTGGGGGAATTGTGTGCAATATGAAAAAAATGATTTCTTGTGTGGTTATTGTCACCTTGTTTAAAACTTCGTTCTTTTCGGAAGTCAAGCCATGAGAATATTCACAAGCCCTCACTTTCATTCTCACGCTCAATTTCGCTCACACTCATTCCTATGGGTGCTTCGAGTATACGACACTTTGGCTACTATCAAGATTCTTGTCGCCAAGTTGATGGACAAATCTGTCGGAGGTATAAGTTGATGATCATGGAGATTCCATGTAATCTCTATATGGTCTCGTCATGTGAGTTCTGGAACTTTTCTGGAAAGTGACTCTTGTACGTCAGAGTCATTTATGTTTTGGGAAGCTGAATTTCCTCAAATGAATGATGGATAAATGAGTCTCACATCCTTCATCGTCTAAGTTTCCTGCTGAGGGATTCTGACTTGCCCCCAGAGTATGAAGCTGGTTCATGGATAAAGGAGGTGTTTGTGTGATGTAGACTTCAACTACTTATTGGCTCTTGGAATGATGAATGTTGAAGACCTTTATGAGGAGGTTATGATTGGAAAATCGTATTATCATGGGGATTCTTCTTTTACTAGAAAGAATTGGATAATAGGGATCATCATGGAGATGTAATTTAAGCGTATGTTGATAATCTCATCTTATGAACCCTTCTCATTAGGGGTTCTTTGCGTTATTTCCTCATGATTGAAACACAAGCATTCTTTGATCTGGAAAGCTTGTTAACTTGATGGCTAGATCCGCTTGAGTGTATCCTGATTGAGATATTTGTCCAATATTGAACCCTTGTGACCATATCGACATTATCGCCTTTTTTTGCCTCTTTGCAAAGGTAGTCAGTCATTTGGGACGAGTTTGAGTGATTGTAGCTTGAAGCGCTCGTGTATGGGCATCTAATGTGTAAGTCCCACAATTTTTCTTTTTCGTTTTCTTTGTTTTGATTTTTCTTGCCATTTTGGCTTCTTTTTTCCTTTTAATTTTTGTGGGACTTACTTAATGTTGTTATGCCCCATACATGCTGTCATTTTGACTTGAGCATCAAAATGTTAGAAATTTGTCGATGTGAGTGATTTTCTTGTCGTATGGGCTACTGGCTATCCCTTTCTTGAGGAAGTGATACTCATGATGTCAGTTTGAATGCCTCCTCCCGAGTTAGATTTATGCGTGTAGACATTGGATGCTAAGACAATTTTCTCTTTAGCCTCAACAGATGATGTGGATTCTATGCGTGCCTCGATGAGGGTTTCGTCAAAACTTGGCTATTATAATGTTGGCATCACGCTTCTTGTAGGCCATAATTCGAAATACACGACCTATATCGGTTATGGATAGTGACAAGATTCTACAAGTAGCCTAGTGTCATATCCTCGTTGCACCCTTTGACTATTTAGCTCACATAATTTGTGGACACCAGTGGGGTGTTTTTCTCTCAACTCTAGCAAAGTGTGCTGACTCTCAACATAAGTGGGTGGATCAAATTCTGGACACCAGTACGGTGTTTATAAACACTCAGCACCAGTGGGGTGCTTATGGTTGCTTAATATGAAAATCTCATGGCTCAGCTTGAAAACATGAAATGCGTTTTTAGGTTCCCATTTCCACAGAAGAAAGGTAGATTTTAAAAGATATGGAAGATATATTCGTCATTTTGAAAAAGAATCATTGATGCAAAGTCTTAGATCAAGATTGGTAGTAGGCACACAATGTTCCAAATAGGTGGAAATGCGAGTTACACATCATTCTTTATTATGATATAAAGGTTGGTACACATCTTCAATATGGTAGAGTATCTAGACATTTGTTTGATTGTGCGGGGCTACATGATGCTCGAATTAAGCCTTCTCTAGTAGTATGCCTACTAATCTCCATAGCTAGGTAGTGGGTTATTGATGTTTGAACGAATAACTTCTTCGAAATTTCTGATAGATTCCTTGTGATCTGGTACCGTTGACTTCTTTTACTGTCATCGAATTTCTTCTAGAATGAGCACAACCTTGGATCTGGTACATAGGATTTGACTTTATCCTCGTGGATGAACAATTTTAGAGAATTCTTGATTTATTATGGTTAAATCCGCCATGTTGATAAATGAGATGAATATATGATAATCATGCGAAATGGTGTGAATATGCATATGCAAGATGTTTTTTTTTTTTTGTGTGTGGATGCATGAATGTTGGTAAAATTACCTTCTTGATTGATTGTAGAGTGAACGAATGGAGAATGAACGGAAAAAAAATGCTAATGTCATGATTTTTGTAAACTTTTGCATAACATCTAACCACATCATTCATGCATAATCGATGCAGCATTAATTCATTATATCATAAACAAACATGAATCATAAAACACATCATCCTATTTAGGCCAACTTAGGGTTTTGTGAGGTTTAACAACGATGTTTAAGATAGGCCTCAGGATAAGTTTTGGATAGTTTAAGGTGGCTTCTAGACTGACTATATGCTGGATAATGAGTTCTAGGGATTTATTCCCAAGTTGTACCCTACTATTGCTCTTTCAAGCTTAGTCGGATACCTCAAATCAACCTCGGATTTGAGTTCAACTTGGTTAGAAAGTTTCGCGTGCCAACCTACTATTGTAGGCCTCACGGTACTCCTTTCGTGTTTTCTAAAGGTAGAGCTCGGGCATAGAGCTTTTAATTATGATGCAAATAATTTAATAAGCAATAAGGTAGTTGCACAAATAAGATAATAAACACCCAAGATACCGAAGAAAATAAGAAAAACTTATCGATTTAAATGTTGTAGCCCGACTCTCGAATTGTCCCCAGCGGAGTCGCCACTGTCGCAACCTCCCCTCCGAAATCGGGGGATACGACGCGACACGCTCGGAGTCGCCATCGACCTTGCTTTGGGGTGGGTCAAACACCCTTTTCCCGGTTTTGTTATTTAGGTTAAAACCAGAAATCTGGTCTGCGAATTTTAGGTTTATGGGTTCGGGAGTACGATTACGTGTGGGGAAGTGTATTCACACCCCACAACGCCCCAAATGGGTACTACTTAAATCGATAAGTTTTTAAGGGTTGGGTGTATTATTATTACTTGGCTTATTTGTGTATTTAACCATATAAAATTATTTAAAAATTATATTGGGTGTATTTGTTAGAGTCCAATTGGAAGATATGATTAGCGTAAATTTTGAATTGTTGTAGTTACTTGATAATGTTTACGTCTATCGACGTAAAAATATTTTGTAGATTGGTTGGACTCGAACCTATTGGTTGCCTACGTACCCGAGTAGTCGGGATCAAAGTCCACGTAGTTCGGTTGAAATTGGTTTTGAAAAGAGAAAACTTTACACGTTCTATTGATTGTGTAAGTTTAGATATTGCATTTCTCCTTTGAAGATAATTTTAGTGTGTTGACTTAATTATTTATTGGTTACACGATTGTCACGTTCTATTGAGCATGACATTTCATATTAAGAAAAATTGTGATATGAATATGGTTGACGAACTTTTCTACAATAGAGAAAATTTTCCTATACGTTAGGTATTAGTACTACACTAGGGTTATAATGAATTTCTACGAGATAAACAAAGTGATTGATTTATATATTTAACATGTACGTTACGTATATAAAAATAAAAAATAAACGAAATGAAACGTGTACCAAGGATTAGCAGTGGCTGAAGTTGTTAAATCCTTAATTAAGGACTCTAACGACCTTTAGGTTAGCAGTTCGAAACTAACCTAACTACGTTTTTGGCGTTTTTAAACGGAAGATAATGAACGGTATTTTCGTCAACCCACAAAGAGGAAAATAACTAATTGCTTTGCTAAACGAAACGGCCGCCTCTCTCAGCCTCTCTCTCTCTCTTTCATTTCTCGTGTATCCTCTGAGAACAACAAAAACAGAAAGGGAAACGAATGGCGATCCCTTTTACTGCTCTCTTCCTCTCCTCCCCTCTCTTCTTCCCCTCGATCTCCCTACTAAGAAATCGACCAAAACAAGCAAAACCTCCCATTTCCTCGATCTTTTTCTCCTCCCTTGACAAGCCTGATCGCCGACCGTAAGATGCAGCCGCGGCGGCTCCGAGAAACGGCGACGGTGAGTGAGCTCTTGCATGTTAATTTTTAGGGTTTGATTGTCCGATTTTTACTTTTGTTCTTTCTTTTAGGTTTTCGATCTGGATGAGGGAAGCATGAATTCGGATCTCAAGGGAAGAGAAGAGGAATGAACGCGTGAATGTGATGGTAAGATCGATGGATTCTGACCTTTAGCTTTTGATTTATTTTTTCATTTCCTTTTTCAACAAAAAGGGATTCTGACCTGGGGCTTTGGTGCTTTGTATTGGTTCATTTTTGTTTGGGTTTCGATCATGGTGAGGGAAAAAGGAGCAATGGGTACGAAAGGAGGAAGAAGGCTGCCGGCGGTGAGTGATTGTAACAGGCGACACCGCCGGCGGCAGTTGAATAGAGTTAGTTCCCTTTCCTTTTCACTTTGATCCGATTTGAAATCTTGGTGATGCTGTTTTGGAATAGTTCGAGTAAGAAGTAGGAAATTTAGGGACTTTACTGTATTTTGGTTCTGGAAATTTGTCGATGCTTATGTGTTTGAAACTAGAAATTTGCGTTTTGATTGTGGTGATTGGGTATGGTTTGTGGTTGCGAAAGGAAAAGGTTTGGGCTTAGATATATAGGGAAAACCCTTAAGCAAGTTATTAGTTTCATTTGTTCTGTCATTATGTTGAATCTGTGTTCTGATAACTTGGTGGATTTAGATGTGAACTTGATAATGAAGTTGGGATTGTATTTTAGAAGTCAGAAACTTTCACGGCTCTGTTATGTTATATTTTTTGGAAAAAAGTTCGGTTGGTTTTGATGGTTTCAACCGTCAAACTAATATTTCTGTTAAGGTTTCAAACTAAGGGATTAAAACAATGAAAAGTCATAGATAGGTTTACATATCAAGTGACTATAAATATTGCTATCGCTTGTGCTTACTTCGTCTTTCGTTGATTTAGTGTCAAATGTGTTTTCCTTTTTGTAGTTTGTGATGGATGAAATATGGGGTTTGCTATGGTTAGACATGAGCCCTTAAAACCGAGAGAGCTATTCTAAAATAGCTTCATATAATCGAGTCTAATAAGTCTTCGAGTTTGTATTAGCTTATTATTATAAGCCGAATCTACTTTTGCTTATGGCATGAGTTGGGTGTTAGTTTAGCATTTATATATATGGTGAGTACAATAAACAAAACTGAGAAGAGGGAAACAAAGGTAAAATTGCAGATCTAACTCTTGCTTGTAATGAGCTTAAGCATGGAAGTATTAAAATGACAAGATGAATTAGGTGTGGGCAACAGCCTTAGATGGAAAGCAATAAATCTGATGTGTTGGTTACTTTGCTAATATGGTGAAGTATGTCATCTTTTATTTTGCTTGGAGTGGATTCAATATCATTGCTTTTCAGATTATTAGAGTCAGATTGTAATTTGATTGTGATTGATTGAGTTTGATGTCTTGTTAAATCAATTTGGTCATTTGTAGTTTGATTGGTGGTAGATTGAGATTCCTCTTTTATACAAAATCAGTATGCCAGTGTTTGCTTGGAATTGATTGATTTGTTTTTGAGAAAACCTTAGATAACTAGCCTTAGATCCGGTGATGCAAATGATGATGATGGAAAGATGAAAAAGATTTAGGATACCCACCTGTTCGTGTAGTTTGGGGGAGGGGATGAAGCTGTTTTCCTCTGTCTTCGCTTGGTTTGACTGCTGGAAACTTATTGCCTCTTGTGGTGGGTCTTTTGTGTGTAAGAAAAGAAGCAGAATGTTTGCTGTAGAGTTGCCGCTGCTCTCTGGCTGCTGCTGTCTTTTTTCTTATTTGTTGTTGATGCTTTGTAACAAGAGGAAAACGTGGAATGGAGTCTTTTCTGTCTTTGACTGCTTTTTCGTTATGATGGTGACGTTTGTACGAAAAAGAAAGAGAGGAGGTAGAAGAAGGTTCCTCTTCTTTTTATATTCTGTGAGTATTTGTTAGAGCCGAAGGGGTAGAGGGAAGTCTATCTGTTCAGTTTTTGAGCTTAGTTATTTGTCTGGGTGTGTTTAGCAGGGGAAATGGAAGGCGTTGGGGAATGATCAGGAGATGAAGAAGAAGAAGAAGAAGAAGAAGAAGAAGAAGAAGAAGAGGAAGAAGAGGAGAGGGGGTCTGCTCCATGTCCCTTTCATCCCTTTCATGGTTTGTGGGTTTTCTTTTTGTTGTCTTTCTTTCTCTCTCTCTTTGTGCAAGAACCGAAGATGAAAAGAGGAAGAGAAGACCTGTTCTTCCCAGGGGAAAAGGAAAGAAGTAGCAGGAAGAGAAGAACCCTCTGCTTTTTTTGTTTTCGTTTGTCATCAGAGGGAAATCTCTCTTCTTGTAAGAGCCATGGGGCTCCCTTTTTATAGGAAAATTGGCTACTTGTGCGCCAAGTTTTGCTACAGTAGTGGTCTGGATTTGGGTCGGACCAGTTTGGGTTTGGTCAGACCTGATTGGGTTGGCTGACTTTGACTCTTGTTGACTGAATTGACCGAAAGTTGACTATGACTTTAGGTCTTGATTTATTTTATTGTTGTATTTTATTTGTAAATTTAATGGAATAGCATTGTGATTGTAATTTTTATTTATATTTGATTTAATTCGAATTTAGTTTAATAATATGCTTATTTATCTTTTCTTAATTCGAATATTTTTATTGCTTCAAAATCAAAGTACAATCATCGCCCCGTCCAAAATTTTAAGAACCAGTTCATCAAAGATCAATTCAAAAATTGCCTAATTCGTCAAATCAAAGCAAACACAACTCAACTCTCTCATTATCAATTATATTGGTCGAGATTTGCTATTAGTTAATCTCTTCAAGGCAAACAAAACCCATCACAGGCACTACAAATATGTTTTAGTTAGAATGTCATTTAGGATTTGCTATTGCAAACTTTAGACAAAACACTAAAATTATTTAATTAAATATATGTTCTAACCCGGACAAAAAGTGGTGTCTACACCATCCAGCTGACAAGTGACAGCACGAAGGTCAGAACTCAGAAGCGAAGCAGAGAAGGGAAAGCACAGATTAAGAAAGCAAGAACGGCCATGGTGGCTACGAAAACTTCAAAGTCGAGGAAATCCTCTTCTCTTCCTTCTTCTTCTCCGGCCTCCTCAGCTCCCGGTGAAACACCCGCCGTCGACTCGAACCGGTAAGCTCAGTTTCCTTCTCTCCGAGAGCCCGACTTCACTACTTCGTGCAAAAAAATTCTTCCATTTCCTTCCGCACCCGCTTCCTTTCCCGTTTGGCCGCCGAGAAAATCTTCGAATCACGAACGCCGAGCAACAGATTATGTGATTACTGCTTACCTTACTTTCCGCTGTTAAGCATCAATCGCTGAGAGCTGTCTGTATAAAATTTCTCTGGTTCCAGGAGGATGGTGTTGAGAATTAAATGCGGCGAGGGAGCGAGGAATTCCATTAGACAAGTTACGTTGAGCAGCGAGCTCGACAGGAAACTGACTGGAACGAGGTCCATAACGAAGAAGAAGCCGAAGAAGAAACTCGACAAGGTCGACACTAAAATGCCCAAGAAGCCGCCAACTGCCTTCTTCTTTTACTTGTGAGTCGCTAGCTTGCCCCCTTTTTTGCTTCTATTATCTGACATCTGTTTGGCTGGAGAGTCGCTAGCTTGGCCCCCTTCCCAAGTAAGACCTTGACCTAACTGGTTCAGTGTTTTGCTCGTCTGACTACACAAAATCACATGCTTATCATCCCTTGCTTCATGCTGTACTACTATTCTTAAGGCTCCAATGGAGAGCAGCAAGATATGATTCCATTGAGGGGGTACAGGGTGCTGTCAGGAATTGCATTGTTACTGATATGATCAACTATGATGGCTGGATTGTTACTCGATTATTGAGAGTTCAATGTTAGTCGATATTCTGTAGGAAGCTGAATTGAGAGTTCCATTTGATGTCTGTTGTCGACGATTTAGGGTTTGGATATTCTGCATCATCACGATAAGGAGTGTCTTTCTCGACATCCACTCTTTTGTGTTAAGTTGATCATAGTATTGATTTGTGCCTGGTTGAGCTGTTTTGGCCGACAAGATATTCCTGCACTACCTTTAGTCTTTGGAGTGGCTCGATCGAATTGTCATTTCTTCTATGCTGTAACTATCGCAGCTTGCTCGACTATGCTGAATTCGTTCTCTTTTCTGAATCTGAAGGGAAGATTTTCGCAAAGACTTTCGAGAGCAGAATCCAGATGTCAAGTCCATGCGTGAGGTAAGTCTATTCATGCACACTGGGTTTTTTCAACTCATTTGTTTCAGTTCTTTTGTTCTGCCCCTGATGCCATACTGTTTTGCCCTTTTCTGTTTCAGATTGGCAAAGCATGTGGGGAGAAGTGGAAAACAATGACATATGAGGTGCAGTTCATGTTGCTCTATGATTAATGATATCTCTGCTCGGTTCTCTTCTTTTCTTTCTCCTGCTTAGGTTTCATAATTAAGTGAAAGCCTCAGTCATTTTGTTGTGAGTAGTGAACCAACCACAATTTAGTTTGACAGAGACTCTAAGGTTGCAGATAGAAGTGCTTTTCATCTTTGTTAATGGCTTATAACCCCAAATAATGTTTCAAGACTTCCTGCATAAATGTGGAGACTGAACAATAGGTTTGTAGGTTTGTCTGTCTTGAGAGGAAAGTGCTCCTGCTGTATGATTTCACTTTCACTTCTCACACTCCAGTCACATTGTCATTGCTCCAGTTGTGTTCGCTTGAAGCATCTCATGTGGAATTCCATAGCCTCTCTTCTCTGGCTATTCTTAACCAAGCCTTCCTTGTAGTCAGTTTATTGGAGTTGTGCTGCGGTTTAAGATCGTATTTGTGTCTATGGCAATGGCAACAACACTACCAAACTTTTCCACCTGCAATTTGAAGCCTCTACCAGCTCCATTAGTTGTTTTGACATATACTTGTAACTATAGAACCTTAAACCATTCTGCCAACTTCTGCTATGTTATCTTATTCGTTTTAGCATCCTCTGCGGCATTTCCTTGAGCAATTCCTGCCAAGCTACCTCAGAATTAGCTTAAAGTTTTCTTTTCTGCCTGTTGTAGGAAAAAGTTAAGTACTATGATATTGCCACCCAGAAAAGAGCAGAGTTTGAAAGTGCCTTGAAGGATTACACAAAGAAAAAGGTAAACCATTCCCCACTGTCACCCACCTATCTTAAGCTAATTTAATTATAATGTCTATGATCTTAAAAAGAGTAATTTTCTGCAGGAAAGTGGTGAACAGGAAGACACTGATGATGACTCCGAAGATTACGTCTAGGGCTATTGTATTCAGGTACCAATACTTCAGCAGGCACAAGCTATTAAGTACAGGGATAGAGAAGTTGTACATCGCTTTTGTGATCATTACCTTGTTGTTTGTGTAAATGGGTAGATGATTTGTTGTGCATATGACAACTAATTTGGACTATCATTGAAGTAAATGGAAACATAGTTTTGTAGGGGTGACAAGGTAAAAAAACCATGTGATTACTTAAATCAAGCCTAGTTGAGACTCTGGTGTTAAAGTGTCCTGAATTCAGTTTTCTCTGTAGGAAATCCTCGTGTCACTGCCTTCTTTTATTTGTGTTCCTTTGTCAAACTTCTCTGTGGTGAATCAATAGATGGCTAATCTATATCTCCCTATTCTATTTCATTTGTGTTTCTATGACAAGCTTCTCTGTGCTGAAAAAGAATAGGCATTCATATAGGAAATTATCTCGTTTCTATTGTACCCGGCTATCCATACACACACCCCATGGTTGTTGAACAGAGCACTGTTATGTTACACTGACGATTTTTTCGTTAGCTAAGCTACTTCTATCAGCTGAAATGCCTAAAGAAGCTGCAGTGCTTCTTACTTGTGCAATCATGGCAACTACATCATTAAGCTTGTTGATAGCTGAGCCCACACCCTGCAATCACATTCGCAATGACAAAACACTCTTTGCGTTAGTTCTCCCCTCGATTAACATCTCTGGAATCCAAGTGTCAGAGCCGTGGATCTAACGAAATGAGGCTGGCTGCTAAATACGTACCACACCAGAGGCTCCTGCCGTGATGGCCATTGGCGCGGTTACTACACTGAGTCCAGATGAACACATCACAGGGATCTTCACCACTCTCGAGATTGGGTATGCCGCTGCTAAGCTGGGCATTGCCTGAAAACAATAACCATCATTATTTCAAACCGCAAAGTTGGTTAGACAGACGGTGAGAGTGACGAGCAGCTTATGAGTAGGTAACCTTCTCTATCATCCCGAGAAACACCCTATTTCGAAGGATTTGCGCGATGTCTACACCTTCCTGTTCCAATAGCTCTGCTAGCTTGATCTGTGTGGTTGGCCATTGCCATGAATTGGCTTAACAAGGGAAACGAATACCATAGGAGGACCATTATATTGATTCATGTACCTGGTCAGGGAGGCTAAGTGTATGAGGCATAGTGACTGTGATAGTGGAACCGTAAGGAAGAATCCTCCAGTTCTTTGCTGTCAGGTTTAGTATCTGCAAAAAACTGAACAGAAATTTGGGTGCTGATAGATGAGACTTTGAGCGCAAGTAGCCTCCGAACGAGAATATGATATGAAATTCCACGTACGGTATACTTCCAACAGTTCAAGTTATTTGGTTAAAGTCAGCATGATACCAGAGCTCAGTACCTGCTCGGGAGAAAATACTGATACAGCGTCATAAAACGAATAATAGTTCCCAATCTCCACCCGCAAACCAAGCCCGGTTTATCGGTTTTTAGTTCCACAGAAGAAATCTTATCACGTCAAGTTTCCCCGTCAAGCAAAGGCATTTACCGGGAGAGAAGTCAGGGAGTCAGGGCAATAGCTAGCAAGCTTCACCAATTCCGGGGGCAAGCAAGCTGAAGCTATATCCACATGAAGTCGCTCCTCCCTGCAAAGCTTCTAGTAAATGCAGGGGTTTATGATATGATGAACACACGGAAACAAGAATCACGGATTTGGAAAACGGGACCTGGGCTCCCCTGATGGAGAACAAGGAACAAGCTGGTATGCTTGCTTCCAGCAACAGTAGCAAATAGCAATGGTTATTGCAGGAAGTAGATCACGAAGATGAAGACGTTTCAAAGAAGATGTGTGAAACGTTTCACCCTATCTTTACTATACTGCTGAGATTTGAAGAAAAAAAGAGACCCTGATAGATAAAATCTCAGTACATGGTACTGCTAAAAGGTTAAAAATGGATACATAGTGCCTGGATTGCAGGAAAATATTGGTAATTGGTTATATCAGTTTTCTCAATTCATTGAGGCACATATGGTTACAGATGTTTGGTTGCGAGACACAATTTTCGAGTTTTGATACAACAGTGTACGTGTGAAGAAAGCAGAAAAAGAGAGAAAACTTTTCAACCGCACAAGCTTTACGGCCTAACTTTATAACATAAACATATGCTAACGGAACCAACAAATCTGATGAAAACCATCCCAATTCATCGGAGCACCAATGGATTCTTTTGCTCTCACCAACAGTCTTCAGTTATGCCAAAACGATTCCTCCCTCTCCCTCCTTTCTTCCTCCCCATCTTCTTCTTCCTATGGTTCTTCCTCCTCAATTTCCATGTCCTCTATCGCTTCTTGCCCTATCAAGGAAGCTAGGAGGAGGGTTCGTCACAGGCAGAGAATTTCTTCCCTGTTTTCATCTCATTGATTCGATACAAAGAAAGAAGGAAACATGGATATAAACGCCGAGCAAAACCTGTACCGCTCGCCGGATCATCCCGGCATCCATTGCTACATTGTGAATGTCACTTCCAGCAGCGGGCTATGGCAGAGTGAAAATCCGCTCACTCAATCTCTCCCCATCTTGGCAATGCAGCTGGCCACCGTCATCGTCATCACTCGCGTCCTCCAATACATCTTCAAGCCATACCACATTCCCCCAATTGTCGCCAATATCTTGGTAAACCTCTTGTTTCACGAAATATATCAAAAAAATTGGATGTCTTTAAATCAATTGAAGTTTCTATCTGGTTTTACAGGGAGGGATTTTAATCGGCCCAACAGCGTTAGGCAATCTGGGTTATTTCCAGCAGATGTTCCCTTTGAGGGCGCTGATGATGCTGGAAACGGTTTCATACTGGGCCTTGACCTGCCACGTCTTCCTGCTCGGATTGGAAACCGACGTCGCCTCTGTTCTCCGGGCAGGGAAGAAAGCGATCCACGTCGCCGCTTTCGGCTTCCTCTTCCCACTCCTCGCCGGCATCGCCCTTTTCCTCATGATACACAAGAACCGCCCGGACGAGGAGAGCAGCCAGAGCCAGTTCGTCTACTTCGCCGCCCCGCTCGCGATGACGGGCTTCCCCGTCGTCTCCCGGATCCTCGTCGAGCTCAAGCTAATCCACACCGACCTCGGCAGGCTCGCCATGTCCTGCGCTCTCGTCGAGGATCTGGTCGGGTGGGCATTCGTCATCGTTCTGCTTCCCTACACCATCAGCTTCTTGAATGCGGTTTACTCTGCTCTGGCCAATGTCGCCTTCATTCTGTTCTGCGTCTACGCGGTTCGCCCTGTTCTGGCCATTTTGATCCGCCGCACCACCGCTCACAGGAACAACGTCAACGAGCACTACCTGAGCTTCATCATGGTCTCTGTTTCGCTGTTCGCCTGTGCTACGGAGGTGCTGGGGACAGGGTCGCTGGTCGGAGCTTTCGTTTTTGGGGTTATCATGCCGGACAGAGTGATTGCCGGGATGCTGGCGGATAAGTTTGAGGATTTCATGTCTGGGTATTTGCTTCCTCTGTATTTTGTCACCTGTGGGTTGAAGATCAACCTGAAGGAGGTCAATAGCAATTGGGCAGGGCCGGCGTTCACGATTCTGATATGTTGCTCGTTGAAGATCATCGGAGCGATGATCACCACTTCTAGGTATAAGATCCCACGGCGGGATGCTTTTGCTCTTGGGCTGATTTCTAATACCAAAGGGATCATCTCCATGTTCATGGCAAACTTGGCCATAGATAAAAAGGTAAGTAAATGTTTATTTTTGTGCGGATTTGAATTTGAATTTTCTAAGGGAACTGGTCATGATTCATACATATACAATTTTCCAACGATTCGAGAGTAATTGGGAACAGTTTGTTTATAGCATTGTATCGAAACTGGTTTTTCCTTGAGATCACGTGTTCAACTTCTCACGATCCTCAATATTAACCGCGCTGCCTTAAAACACGTGGTACAATGGACCTCTCTGCAAACTTCATCTGGCTTTCGTTTGAGGGCGAGCGTGTGTAAGAAAGTGGTTAACATTCATACATAACATTTCCTAATTATCATTCGTCCATGTAGATTTTGTCTAGTTGTGTGTGTATGGAAGTGGTTAAAATTCATATATAATTACGTACAAAACTTTACTAACAACTTGAGTTATCGCCTGACTAGCTGCGGTTTACGACGAAAATCTTTTCTAATTTATTCAATCGGACTATGTGCAGATTTTGTCTAGCTATGAGTACGCAACGCTAGTTCTTTCCATTGCAGTCATGACTGCGGCTACGGGGCCGATCATCGCCAACATGTACCGACCGGCCAAGCGTCTGTCTCATTACAAACAGAGGACGATCCAACAAGCCAAAGGAGCAGAATCCGAGCTCAGAGTCCTGGCTTGCTTCCACGGCCCCTACAACATAACAGGGATGATCAACCTCTTCGATTCCTCTGCAACAACCAAAGAATCCCCTCTCAACGTGTTCGCCCTCCACCTCGTCGAGCTCACCGGTCGAGCCTCCGCGATGCTGATCATCCACAATCCGGGGAAGAGTCGAGCAGGGCGCAAAGACGCCAACTCTGAACAAATCCTGACTGCACTGGACACTTTCGCTAGCCTCAACGACTCGATCGAAATGCACCCTCTGACTGCGCTGTCCCCTTTCGTCACGATGCACGACGACATATGTAGCCTGGCCGAGGACAGGAGGGTGAGCTTCGTGATCCTGCCTTTCCACAAGCCCCCGACTCGAGATGGGAAGCTCGACGAAGAAGGCAGCACCTCGTTTCGAGGGGTCAACCTGAACGTGCTGGCAAATGCTCCTTGCACCGTAGGCCTGTTTGTGGACAGAGGGTTTGGGGAAACCCAGAATGAGGATTCTTCCCTGAAGCGGCAGGTCGCAATGTTGTTCTTCGGCGGGCCTGATGATCGCGAGGCTCTCGCCTACGCTTCGAGGATGGGAGCGAGTGGGGTGGTGAATCTGCGCGTAGTAAGATTTCAATCGGGAATGTTGGAATCGAATCATGGGGGTGACGGTATGGATGGCATCCAGGGCACAGCCGGCGAGTTCGGTGGCCTTGTGACTGCGTCTGCCTACGTAGAGAGGCAGAGGAAGCTTGACGAAATGTGCTTGAATGAGTTCAGGCTTAGATCCGCGGGGCAAGAGATGATCCACTACGAGGAGAAGGAGGTGAATGGGGAGGAGGAAGTGGTGTTCATCTTGAGAGAAATGGCCACAACACAACAGATTGATTTGTTCTTGGTGGGGAAAGGGGAAGGTGCCCTGCAGCCTCTGACGGCTGCTCTGTTGGACTGGTGCGAGTATCCAGAGCTCGGTCCGATTGGGGACTCGTTGGTCTCGATGGACGATTCGCGGAGCTCTGTTCTGATCGTGCAACAGTACATCGGGCCGGAGGAAGAAGCAGAGGAGTTGGGGGATCAACGGCGCGAGCATATGGTAGATGTGCACGAGCCATCGGAGCACTCGAGAGAGCATCTTGGGAAGTGGCAGGTTCCCGGGGAAGAAGATGAGCATCATCTTGGCGGGTTTGAGATGGAACCATTTGATAGGCACAAACGTGATGATGGGATGGATGGTTTGAAATATAACTATTGAAATCAAATCCTCTCAAGTGTTGTTTTTTTATGTGTTAGAGATTGAGATGTTGGAATGATTGTTGGTTTCCTCATACTATAATGAAACTAATATCTAATTTGCTAAAAAGTATCCACTTTGGTTTTTCTTATTTGTTATATTAATTAATAAGTACAAAGAAACAATGCACTAAAAAGTAAAAAGTGAACATGGTGTAAATAACCAACACCAAATTAAATTATACTGAATCAAATTTAATTTAATGTACTATCTTGCATCACCATAAAATTAAATCATATACACCACATTTCTTGCAGCGGCTCGAAAGGACAAATATAACCATATAAAAGAGTAGAATAAAAACCCGAATCCAAATGGTTTTTTATGGGTATGGGGAAAATTCTAACATGAATATTGCGGGTGGGGTGATTATAGTTTTCTCACAATCCAACCTGAATCTGTCTGATTATACACATGTATCTACTTTCTATGCGTTAATTAATAATGAGATGCTTTCACTCCAAAAAAAAAAAAAAATGAGATGCTTTCACCATCGAGGTTTCATCATCTGTGGTGGTGTCTTCTTTATCTCTTATAGATAACTATATTTGTATTATTTAGTGATGAATTCTAGGATGCTTCAACCTTCGTCAAGAATATAGAGGCTTGTGGAGGCGTGTTTATCGGGATCGCTGGGGTCCCCGAGGTTCCACGTGTACAACACCGATTTCAGAAGGGGGAAACCCAAATACGTGGAGGTGGCTTTGATAGATTGGAGGGGTGCTATCTCGCTGGCAGAGTGTAGAAATGGGAGTTGCGGGATCTAGGTTGGACGGGATTTGCCATAGGATCCCTCTTGAATGTTAGTGGAGTAAACCTCAACAAGGACGTTGAATCCCAAAGGAGGTTGTACGTAACACGCTACGCGAATCCGACATCGACAAAGCACGGGGAGATCCATGATTCATAAGTAAAAACCAACCTTAGTTGACAAGACACATTTTTTAAGTGAATGGAAGAGTTTTTGTAAAAACTCAGAAGTTAAATGTGCTCACTATGGAGCACAGCAAGGATGGGTGACAATATGGGAAGTCACCTTGACATGCACCCCAAGGCCAAAAGTGTAAGGATCTAGAGTCAAAACGAATAATATATTGTAGGAAAAAGATTCAGCTTGTTATAAGTATGGTATTATCCTTTTTTTTCTTTTGGCTAATAACATTTTGTATCCCTCTACTATTGCAGATTAACAAACATACCCCTCTACTAAATTTTTGCACAAACATACCCTTCTAATATTTAAACTTTTCGTCTAATCATTTGTTCAATGATCGCTTAATGGGCTGGAAATGACCATATTGCCCCTCATTTACTGCTCAACACTCCTAATTTTGGTTTTAATTAGTTTAGGTTCCTAAAACCCAATTAGTTAATGCTAACGTCGGGCCTCCTCTCCATTTGAGGACGCAACAGCAAGGCTCAAGCTTCTTCTCCTCCATCAGTGCCTCTGATGGATTCTGCCCAGCTTCCCAATCGAACTATAAAAAAAAAATTGTTACACAATGCCAACTAAATTTACACAAGCTAAAGGTGTGTTTACTTCTCTTTTGGTCTGTGGAGGTCTTCAAGGGCAGGGGAATAAGTGCTAACGCTCATAGTATTTAGACCATTGCAACACACAAGATAGTTCCGGTGATAGCTGAAGCCAAAGGTGAAGCCATGAAAGCAGCAACATTACCTAATTCCTCTGAGAATTAAAATCAAGAAAAGGCTTGCATCAGTAGGCTATAATGATCGTACTCGATCATAGGCAAAAATGAAGCAGAAACGAATTACTTTGTGCTAACCTGCAGATATTTCCTTTTGAAGCGGTGCATTGACCAACGAGTAATCAGTCATCACATCAGCAGAACCAATTACTTTTGCAGCCCGACTTCTCAATGGACCTGCAAAGGCATGGAAGTTATGAGGCCCCTAACATAAATTCAATCATAGCTGTGTGTTTACTTCGTGTGGGGAAAAGGTCGCGGATCGATTTGGAAGCTGGGCAGAGTCTGCCGAAGGCACTGACGGAGGGGAACAAGCCGAAGCGCAGCTGTTGTGCCTTCGTGTGGGGAAGAGATCGATTCGCCACCTCCGAAAGCTAGCTGCTCAATCGGCACCGACGACAAACTGTCGGAATGGATGTTGTACTTTTTTTAGTTATGGTCAAGGGAATAGAGAAGAAGACCAAGTGTTTTGCCGGGCTAGAAAGGTTGGGAAGGATTATGTAGTTTGTATTTTTTTAGTTAATTGTGTTTTAGGGATATAAAATTATTAAAATAAAAATTAGGAGTAAATGAAGGGCAATTGAGTCATTTCTCAACCCATTAAACGGTCATTTAACATATAATTATACTTAGACAAAATACACTTCCACAGCCTTAACTTTACACTTTGTGACAAATATAGTCAAATTTTGAAAAATACACAGAAATAGCCAAAAATTTTGGAAATGCTTTAACAAATATAGCTATTTCCATTATAAAATATGACGTCGTTAGGGACGCCGTCAATTAACCGTTAGCGTCGCTGAGGTGGCTGCCATTTGGGCGCCACATTGTCGCCAACTAGACTGGGGAGCCGAAAATCGGCTTCCATCTTCCTCCCAGTGGCAGCCGAAATCCGTCCAAAATCCCTCGGCGCCGTCGACAACAGTGGTTCCCTCGTTGTCTCGTTGCTTGTCTCCCTCCCCAATCGCCAATTTCTCCAACCTAGCCTCTGGTTCAATGTTGTTTCCCCTCTTCGCTTCCATCTTTTCATCGACGACTCCTCCTTTCCGCTCGCTCACAGTCCGCATCTCCTAACCGGTTGATGTCACAAAGGGGCAGTCGGGGTGCTCACAAGAATGGCGCTGATTCGGGTTCAACAAGCGTCAAAAGTGAGTGTTCTATCCTTTGCGAACACAATGCCCTAGTTGTGATTAATACCTCTGGGACTGAGTTGAATCCAGGAAGACAGTTCTATGGCTGTTGTTATTGGAAGGTAAGGCCATTTCATTGAGATTTTATACGTTTGTTGTTTGTTGCGTGAGGAGGATGATGGTTTGCAGGATGGGAAACGATGTAGGTTTTTTAGGCGGGTGAACAGCAATGAGAATGAATTAGAGTCAAAGAACCATGAGATGGAGAGTATTATCATGAACTTAGAAGAGAGACTAAGGCTGGCCGAGTCTAAGGCTGAGAGGAGGAAGAAGGAAAGAAAGCTGATGGCAGAAGAACTAAGGAATTGGATGCAAGTTCGCCAAGTTAGATTAGTTGAAGAGATCCGGGTCATGTGATATATGTTGACTGTGTTGTTGTTCTTGAATGTGTTCTTGTTTGTGGTTCTGTGGAGGAAGGATTATGACATGTAAGTTCTCGTTGAACCTGAATTTGGTGATGTAATTTGATGTCAAACCTGAATGTGGTTTGTAAGTTTGTTGAACCTGAATTTGTTATGTAATTTTGGTGTTGAATGATCATTTCATATGTACTGTGGCGGAAATATTGTACCATTTCTATATTTGATTTTCAACCTGCATTACATAACCTGTATTAGTTGACAAAAGAGTTGCATTACTTAACCTTCATTACATAAACTGCAGTACTTCAGTTAGTTGTTTTTGAACCCATAACATCACCTAACATAAAGAGTTTGCATTACTTCATCTCATTACTTCATCTACACTACACCTAACAGAAAGAGTTTGCAAGACTATCAGCTACACTACACCTAATAGAAGGAGTTAGCATTCATTAAGGCTTCTTATAGCCTTTACACGAGTTGACCAAAACAGAGCCTAACAACCTTAGTTGTTGGCCTGTACAAAAAACGACTCAAATGCTTGCTTTCATGAGTTCTAAGGTTGAGTTAGTGGTGGCTAGCTTCCATGCAAGTCCAACACAGAAGCTTGGGTTAAAGGAACTGGCAGTGGATCTCCATGAGGGTGACCATTAGCCATATTCAGCTGCAAAAGTTGGAACAAGTTCGAGTAATTACTTAGGCAGTTTATTTTCAACAATTCCCACCGTTATAATTCATGCCACTCACCCTAACATATTGGTTCCCGTGTTCTCATCGACATAAACATCCACTCTAGTAGTTGCACGACGTAGTTCCCTTTCAACGGTAGCTCGATCGCCAACATTCAATCTCACATCCTTGAAAAAAAAGAGTAGTTCACAGACATGAAGCCATTCACCATTCTCACATCCTTGAGTAAAAGAGTAGTCGCAGACTTACCTGTATCCCTAAACCCCTATTCAATGGGCATGTCCTTGAATTATGATATGGTCGTCTACACTTGGAGCAGTGTTTGGCACGTTTGGTCCTCACATTGCTACCTTCTTCTTGGATAACAGCTCGCTTTCCTCTTTGAGTAGGATTGTTGACCTTCAAAACAATGATAATAGACAATTCTGAACGCACTTAGTATTGCTTCAATATTATTAGGTAAAAGCAACAAATAATAACATCTGAATCGTACCCTTGCTTGTCGGGCAGCAGGAGGTACTTTGCACGATCTCATGTTGTGGCCTTCAGCTCCACAGTTTGAGCAGCATATCAAGTTCCCTCGCCTACTGACTTCCGCACCCTCACCTCTTCTGTGTGGTCTCGTCTCCAACTCAGCTCCAGGCTTTCTCCTGTTCTTTTTAGGTCGTCTAGGCATGGGTCTAGCCTTAGGAGGTTGGACGTCATAATCAGAAATAGTTGGCCACGCTTGTCTACCATCAAGACAAGACAACCCTACTTTATATGTCTCGGACACATGATGTGCATGGTAAAGATGATCAACGAAGTCCTCTGGATCTTTCCTCAAGTGGCTGATCGCAAAAATTGCATGACAACATGCAAGGCCACTCAGCTGCCAGTACCCACACGTACATTCTCTTGCACTCATATCCACAATATATCCTTCAGCTGTCATCTTCACTTCACATTTATCATGCAAAGCATGTCTAGACACACACAACCTAGCAAACTCTTTGTCCTTCTCCAATCGTTTCCTAATCCTAGGACAAAGAATATAAGTAGTCTCTAGCAACATCTTGTGTTTAATAACCACCATATCCATCATGTACCCCCCTAATTCCTTCTAACATGTCAATGATGCGGAATCCCCTATACTTCACAATGCTCCCATTCCATGTCTCGCAAATGTTAGACTCAACTGAGTCGCACTTAGAGACTGGGGAGAGGAATGCTCGACAGAAATAGGTTGGTTCAGCAGCCATGAAATCAGTGTAAGGTGTAGACTCAACCTTCATGAACAGCTTCCTTACCCGATCAGTCTTGTTTTTTGCTTTCCAATTAGCATACACGTAACACTTGTCTGGCATATTTGTAATGCTTAATTTCGCATAGAATTTCATGTATCGTCTCAAACAAACCATGCGGAGAACAATTACAATACAACTCTAATTAGTGCATAACAAGGACACTAAAAGGAATGAAATAACACTTAAAAGACAGCAGCCAGCCATACCTTCTGTTGGTTCGAGATCACTGTCCATCCCCTTCCATCTCTCATAGACAACTCTTGAGTTACAAGTTGGACAAACCATCGCCAAGAGTTGGTATTTTCCCCTTCCACCGCAGCCCATGCAATTGGAAACATTTGTGTTTCCATCTTTCCGAACGGTGGAAAGAAGCATACCCTTCACTTCGCCCTTGAGGAAACAATCGTCTAGCCCAAACATAGGTCAACAAGCAAGCAAAAAATCATCCTCAAGCTAGAGAATCTGATGAACAGACATCAAAAGTAACATTATCACCATCGGGATGTGGATCTACTTACAGAACGAATCATCCATCTGGATCTCTTTTCATTAATTCAGTCATATAACTTCGGAGGCCCTTGTACTCGTCAGTCAAGGACCCGCTTAATAGCTGCAACTTTGGCACTGTAACAAGTTCTCCTCTTAACATCCATGTTGTGCTTTAACTTGACCTCGGCCATAATCTGATCCGGTGCCCATGTTGGGTTAATTCTGAACCTCTCCAGCATGTCAAAAGTTATCTGATTGGCGGTAACTTGATAACTCGGGGACTTCTTACACAGGAATGTGGCAGTCCCACTTTCCTGATCATGAAAAACTTGTTCCTCCTGAACCAGCTAGCATAAAGCTTCCACTTGCACTTGGCATCTTCGCACTTCACCTCCCTCCTTGTAGGGTTGCTCCGGGCCCTTCGCATGCAAGCACCAACTGCCACAGCATGCCGCACCACGACATTCTTGAACTGCTTCGCATTAGCCAACTTCATTTTGTAAACAAACCGTAAAGCCTTGTGATCACATGTGGGATCGTACTGTGGTGTATCATCGTCCAGATCACCACCTTCCTCATCTGACAATTTGGGCCTGACGGCTGACGTGGTCCGATTCCTCAGATCCTCTATAACTCGAATGCTGAACCCTCTTCGCTAGCTTGCTGAGGTGGCTGTGGAGGTGGTTGTGAATGCTGTGAACCCTCGGTTGCTACCGCTTCTCCTTCCTCCTCTTCGTCTTTAGTTTCTTCTTCCTCAAACTCCTCAAGCTGATCTACCTCTTCCTCATCGACAGAGGCCCTTGCATTCACCTTCCTCCTCTTCCCTTCCCCATGGAACGTAGTTCAACCCTAGCTTCGTGGTACTCATCATCGGAGGTCATGGCAACATCGGAGTCGTAAATGTGGTAGATATCTCGTGCAATGGATGCATTTGTATCACCATCTGTTTCCAGTGAAGCATCTTCATGAACAATCTGATTTGGGTCATTCTCGTCCCAAGCATCGGCCATCTGTTGAAATTAACTTGAAGTGATTATCTACTAAACAAAAACCCTTAAACTTAATTAAATAATGATTAGTTACTAATACTATAAATAAATCACTAACATACAAGCAGCACAGCAACATGGCATCAAAGAAATGGAATTCGGTTCTATTAATTTCAAAGCAATGAATTCGTCATACTACAATGACGGTTCTATCCACAACTTTGAGCTTCTTACCGTATGATGTAGGGGCAATCTCGTGACCAACAGATTCGTTGTGGTCCCTTCAAACTCTTGTTGCATCGCTTTCCCACTTTACAACTTAGTTTCTCCTATAAAAGAACACATAGGGATTAGGGTTCCCACCATTCCCATTCAACAACACAAAAAGAGGTAAGGAGTAACAGAGGCGAGGAATAACAGAATGGCGAGGAGTACTCACCAAAACACCACGAGACGAGAAGCTGATGATGATGCGACAATCGGATTACGGTTCGCGCTTCGTCTTCTGGGTTTTGTCGAATTCGATGGTTTCGACCTTCGCCGACTCTTCCTCTTCACCGGCAACAAGTGGATGCGAAGTTTTTGCCGTATATTAACCTAGGGGGATGATGCATGGCTACCTCTGTGTTCGTCAATTGAGATGGGAATTGAGGGGAGTTCAAGGACCGGATGACGGAGGCGAGATGGAGCAGAACGATTAGCGAGATGGATCGACGGTGATGACTGTGTTCGTCGATTGACAGTCACCGGCGAAGAGGAATCGAGGTGTAATAGGGATTCGGGTTTCTGCGAATTGGGGCTAATGCGAAGAGTTCTCGATAATGAGAAGAGGGGGGGATGGTGAATATGAAAGAAGGTAATAATTTGGTAAAGTGAGGTAATTTTTAATAAATAAATAAAATTAATTTTATTTTCCACCATGGCATGTCACGTAGACCAAATTAAACGCGGCCACATACGACCGTTTGTCCAGTCATCCCTCGTTATAATTCCATTACATTAATAGATGGAATGGCTATTTCTGTGTATTTTTCAGAATTTGCCTATATTTGTCACAAAGTGTTGTGACTATGAAAGTGTATTTTGCTTTATACTTAAACGTATATTCATCATGTTTTAATATTATAAATATGTTTGGACAAAATTTTAATATTAGAAATACAAAATGATATTACCCCAATTATTTTTTAGCAAACCTTGCAATTTGTGAAAAATCCTGCAAATGTTCGGCTGTATGCATTTTAGGAAAACAAAATGCAACTGTAGACCGTCTGGCTACTTATTCCGCCATAGAACAAAAAGGTTAGTTTAAAGCAAAACAACTCAGTCCAGGGCAAGGAAGCCAGCTAATGAGTCCAACTATTTTACGTCGTCCCCTACCTCGACTTTAGCCTTTTCTCCAAGGGCTTATTTCTTATCATTATTTCGCTGGCCGTTGATCAACCTTCCTTCCAGTGGGTTGCGAACTTGCGATGAAGCAGAAAGAACTCGTCCGGTCCCTTTTTTCCGTTAGCTTTCCCCACTCAGTTTTTTGGCCGTTTGCTAGGTGGATTTTTCCCTTGGGGCCATCTTGACAGTTACAGAGCACAAGAAATCTCCAAAAAAGTGCAAATTGGGACGCTCAATTACATAGCACGGGAAACCCAAAACATGCCATTTCAACACTAATAACTATTTGGATTGAGTCTAGAGAATGCAATTGGAGAAAAATCAATCCCCTGTTTCTGGACTCCCCTGTAAACTGTAAAACGAACCCACAAGCAGAGACCAGGTGAATTGGGGGGAAAGATGCAGAGGAAGGATAAAATGAAAAGGAAAGGAAAACCCAGATGCAAGAATGTTCGATTTTACCAATTGTGTACACATCAAATCATCAAAGATAAATTACTGGCGGCGGCGGGGAAGCAGAACAATGAAAGAAGGGGGGAAAACGTGGAAAGAAGAAAATTGGAGTTCTAATTCTACGGCTTGAAGAAGACTATACAATACGATTATACAATTATCAAAAGATCAGAAGAAGAAGAGGAAGATCCCATCCCCCATAAAAAGAAAACAAACAAAAAAAGCCCCGAATCTTGAAAGGTAACTCTCCAGTTCTTGAAATCGACGATCAAAAGTGGCAGCCGCAACAGAGGTAGAAGAAAGACAGGGTGGCTACCAACACAATCGCCTCAAGAACGGAGACGATCTTGAAGAGGACATCGTCGACGAGCGAAATCTGCAAATTGACGCGCTTCCACTTGAAAACAGAGGTCAGGAACTTCCACCTCCACCTAAGCGACTCCTTGTTGAACTTCAGCCTCCTGAAAAGCCACAATCCCGATCTCCTCTTCCTCCTCCCTCCTCCTGCTTTTCCCCCTCCCGCGCCGCCGGTAACACTGTCGCCGGCGAGGCTGCTCGCTGGGCTCATGGCAGCGGTTATGCCTTCGCCGCCTCTAATCCCGTCGTCTTCTCCGTTATTCCTCCCCATCTGATGATTTCTCTCACGACCAATACAGATTTTCTTCTTCCTCCTTGGGATTTTTGTTGGGTTTTGTGTTTGGTGGCTTGGGACGAATTAGGGCTGGGAGGGGAGCGGGCAGTTATATTGCTGGTGCGGGGAAGAAGAAGAAGAAGAAGATTCGCGTTGTCTTGATGTAGACGGCAGAGGGCAGCGGGAGGGATTTATGGATTACCACGAGGGTAGATTTGGAAATTCAATGGACTTAAAAAGAAAGAAACTGACCCGCGTTTTGATGGGTCAAAATCAAAGTGGGGGTAAAGGGAAAGTGTGCAACGATAATATGCGGGCGGGTGTAGTTGGAGCCAGCCGTGAGCCGTCTATACAAAAGAACAAGGCACTCACGTCAAAACTTGGAGTAGGGACCCTGGACGGTTGAAGACCACTACATCGTGTCAGAGCCTTGGAGACTGGACTTCGACCCGGATTTTGATTCCATCAACAGAACTGCAGTCTGGGTAAGATTGCCAAGACTCCCTCTAGCCTACTTTGATGAGGAAATTCTGAACGATATAGGAAACAAGTTGGGCAGGGTGGAGAAGATTGACTATAATACTGCTAATGGGTTCAGAGGAAACTATGCTAGAATTTGTGTTGAAATCGATCTGAGGAAAAGGCTGGTATCTAAATATCGGCTGAAAAGAAGGGTTCGACGAGTGGAATATGAAGGGCTCCATATTGTTTGCTTCGATTGTGGCCATTATGGTCATACAGTGGACTCTTGCCCCTTAAAGAATGCTTCGACTGAGGAAAAGGTCAAGGAAACTCAGATGACTACCGATAGCCAGATGGTTAGACCCGAAATTGTTGAAGAATTCGGACCTTGGATGCTTGCCACAAGAACAAAAAGAAGGAAGCAACCAGTTAACAAAGGTGCAAGGGAGGGTACAGATAGGAAGGAAGAACAACAGCCAAAGACTATGGGGTCTCGGTTTGAGGTATTGGAAGAGGTTGAAAGTGGGGCAACAGATGAGATACTCATTGAGGAAGAGAATCAGGAGAAAGCAGACACAGATCAGGCGGTGATTTCTGGGCAAACAGAGAAAGTCGACCCAACTGAAAATCCTAATGACAAGCAAAACAAGAAAGAACCAAGGAAAGACAAGAATATGGGAGGAAAGCATACTGCAGAAAATCAGGAAAAGACTAGAGAAAAACCACAGGATAAAAAACAGAAAGATAACAACAGGAAGGTTAATCAGAAAGCAACACCAGAATCCAGCAACCAAAGAGGCAAGCAGATTCCCCTAGTTAAGACCTCGCCCTCCACCTCCCTCACACCACCTGCTAGAAGCAGCAGGAAAGGAGGAGGAGAGTCTCAGCTGTCAAAGCACGGAAAGCAGCAAGGAGCTACACAAATGGTCGCTCCCATCTCCCCCCAAGGCAGTGTTAGAGGCACCCCTGAGAATGCAGTTGCAGGTCACAAACCAAAAATGAAAGAGCAGATTTCGTGTAAGGGAGACTTTGATACCAACACCAACTTGAGAGTGCCCCCCGAAAGTGGGATCAACCAACCCAGGAAGCTTGAGTTCAACTTGAGTCCAGGGAAGGTAGCTTCAAAGCCTGAAAATGCTAAGCAACTCACAACTGGTTCAGCCAAGAGTGAGAAGAGGGAAGAAGCGACGGCGATGGCCGTCGACAATGAGTAGTTTTTACCCTGTGATTGGGCAGGGGATATCTTTTAATCTTTTCCAATGATTAAAGCTTTCTCCTGGAACTGTAGGGGTGCCAAGCATCCCAACTTTCTGTCTACATTCAATTTGTATAGAAGTCTACACAAACCTAATGTTGTGTGTATTTTGGAGCCTAGAATCAGTGGAACTGATGCACTCGAAGTAGTTGAGAAGATGGGGTATGACAAATGGGAAATTTCAGATGCAGAGGGTTTCAGTGGGGGCATTTGGGTTCTTTGGGACAGCACACAGTTGAGGCTTGAGAGGGTGGAGAAGCACAAGCAATTTATCCATTTCAAATGCTGGAATGGAAGCCATGTCCTCTGCCTTTTCTCCGCCATCTATGCAAGTCCGAAGGATCATGAGAGGGAAGATCTCTGGCAGGAAATAAGACGTTTTGGCAGGCGAACCTCTATACCTTGGCTTTTAACAGGAGATTTCAACTCCATTACGAAGTCTTCTGAGAAACAAGGGGGGGCACCTTTCAGCTACTCTAAGACAAGAGCTTTCAACGAATGTATGGAAGACTGTGGTCTTATTGATTTGGGGTTCTCGGGACCGCGTTTCACATGGTTCACCAGCTCCTCCAGAATCAAAGAACGCTTGGATAGAAGTATCTGTAATATTGAATGGCAGCAGCAGTTCCCGGATTCTGTTACTTGGCACCTGACGAGGTTAAAATCTGATCACCGTCCAATTCTCACAAGCACTGCGAGCCAGGCCCACAATCAAAACTTGGTGAGGCGCTTCCATTTCCTTGCCCCTTGGCTTACCCATAATGATTTTTTCCCTTTTGTTTCTGCCAACTGGAAAACTGGTGACTTCTTTCCCCCCTCTCTGCAGGATTTGTCATCAAAGCTGCAAGTTTGGAACAAGGAAGTCTTTGGTAACATCTTCAGAAGGAAGAGAAAGCTGATGAACAAGCTTCAGTCTCTGGAACTGTTCAACGAGAGGAACCCAACAGGGAGATCTCTCGCGCAGGAGGGTCAGGCGAGAGTGGAGCTTGAACACACTTTATGGCAAGAGGAAGTGTTGTGGAGACAGAAATCAAGGGCCAACTTTTGGGTTCAAGGAGACTGCAATACCAGATTCTTTCACAATAGCACCTTGAGCAGGAGGAAAAGAAACATAATTGTCGGGCTTAAAGATGAGATTGGTGAATGGATTACCGACCCAGAGGTTCTCCAAATCATGTCAAGAGACTTCTACGTCCAGCTCTACACCAGAGAAGAGAGAGACCAGTGGCCCTCTATCCCAGCGGAGTTCCCTGAAATCGATGGGAATAGAGCTGCCAGAATCGCAGAAAGACCGACCCCAGAAGAGATCAAGTCAATTGTCAGCAATATGAATGGCCTCAAAGCTCCGGGCAAAGATGGCTTCCACGCCATTTTTTACCAGAAGTGCTGGAAGCTTGTGGGAGCTGACCTTGTCAGTTTCGTCTCCTCATGCTTCTCGAACCCGGAGAACATCAGGACCATGAACGGAACCCTTCTTGTCCTGATCCCAAAGACTGATTCTCCTTCTTCCATGGCCCATTTTCGTCCTATAAGCTTATGCAACGTTGGGTACAAAGTAGTGGCGAAGTGTTTGGCCGAGAGGCTAAAGAACTTAATGCCCTGCCTTGTGAATCCAAATCAAACAAGCTTTGTACCTAAAAGACATATAACTGACAACATCATCATTTTGCAGGAGACGGTACACTCAATGATGAAGCGAACTGGCAAAAAAGGAAGTATGCTGCTCAAGATCGACCTTGCAAAGGCTTACGACAGGATTGACTGGAGATTCCTGGAAGAAACTTTGCAAAGTACGAGACTGCCAGCAGGATGTGTGAACATTATTATGAAGTGTGTCACCACAACCTCAATGCAAGTGTTGTGGAACGGAGGGGAAACTGAGAGCTTCACACCGAGCAGAGGTCTTCGGCAGGGATGTCCTCTCTCCCCTTACCTCTTTACTCTTTGCATTGAGAGATTGAGTCATTGCATTAATAGCTATGTTAACGTTGGAAAATGGAAACCCTTACAACTGTCTGTGAATGGCCCCCTTCTTTCACATCTTTTCTTTGCGGATGATCTCGTTCTCTTTGCTGATGCGAACCTCAAGCAGGCGGAATATGTGACTGAGTGCCTGGAATTATTTTGTAATGCCTCGGGGGAACTCATCAGCAAAGAGAAATCGAGAGTGTTCTTTTCTAAGAACACTAGCAAAGAGAGTAGGAGTAGGATTTGCCAGAAGCTTAGTATTCAATCAACAAATGATCTTGGAAAATATCTAGGGGTACCTGTTTTGCATGGTAGGATTAACAAGAATACCTATAGATATATCCTTGACAAGATTGAAAACAAGCTTACAGCCTGGAAGGCTAAAACCCTCTCCCTTGCGGGAAGGGTAACTCTAGCTCTATCTGTGCTTAATTCTATCCCTATTTATGCTATGCAAACTTCTATTCTCCTTGTCTCTGTTTGTGATGCAATTGATAGGAAGATTAGGTGGTTTGTTTGGGGATCTCAGGAAGGGAAGAGGAAAGTTCACTTGGTGGGATGGGACACTGTTTGCAAACCAAAAGATCAGGGTGGTCTGGGACTCAGATCTGCTAGGGAGCTTAATATGGCTTACATGATAAAGATTGCTTGGCAGATTTTTAACAATGAGAATGCTCTTTGGGTGAAGGTACTTCAAGGAAAATACTTCAAGCACCAAGAGGGCGCTATCACATCGATGAAGAAGACCAACCACTCACCTCTTTGGAGAGCCGTGCTGAGAGCAATGCCTCTTATGAAGTCTGCAATGGTCTGGAGCATCAGAGACGGCAAGAGTACAGGTTTCTGGATCCACCCTTGGCTGGAGAATGGGCTCATTCTTGAAGACTTTCTTTTGAGAAGCATCAACGAGGAAGACCTTGGCTCTTCGGTGGCCAGCTGGACTACACCTTCAGGGGATTGGGACTGGAACCGCCTCCACAACCTCCTTCCACAAGAGATTCTAACCCTCATTGCTGGTGCTGAACCACCTGTTGCTGGCTCTGGAGAAGACAAATCTCTATGGGGGATTGAGCACGATGGAAGATTCCGGCTTAAATCAGCTTACAAGCTTGCCTCGAATGCACTGGATGATGAAAGCAACGACAAATGGAAAGGGCTTTGGAAATGGAAAGGCCCAAGTAGAGTGAAGCATTTCCTATGGTTGGCATCCCACAACCGCCTGCTGACCAACAAGGAAAGGTGGAAGAGGGGA